TATATAAATATATAAACAAAAACACACATATATAAATGACAGTCAAAAAGATATTTGATTTACTTTATAAAAGTCTGTTCTGAAACAGGTTGGGGGAGATATCTATTTCCCCAAGTGAACCAATCTGGGAACTGCACTGCGATCAAGCACAGTGCTCCGTGTCTCATCCCAAGTGTGACCCAGGATGGATTAAACTTAGGAGGACGCATTCTCCCTCCCAGGATAACGAATAACCAGGATTCAGAAGCTGACATGTTCATCGTAAAACTCAGAGGGGCCATCCCAGCCCAGCACGGCAAGGCAAGGCGAGACGGCCACCGAATGTCATTCTCATCTACGCCTTGCCGTCCTGAGCAGCCAGCCTCTGCTCTGGCTTAGACTTCCCCGGCCTCGCCCAGCCTTACGTTTCCGGATCTGGGGTCGGTCACTTCTTTGTAGAGGCTGATGTCCAGGTAGTAGCCCGACTCGTTGGTGATGAACAGGCGGATGGGAACGGCACTGGCGGTGGTGGTCTGGCGGATGTTGATCTTGACCTCGGCCTGCAGCACTCGGAGCTTCCACAACCGGCTGCCGTAGCGCATCACCATGGAGCGCACAGACTCCTCGATCTGCCCCAAAACACGGCAATTCCAGTCTCAGAGCCCGTTCATTCCACACGGGCTTATAATAGCACCGATAACAACGGGATGATGAGACAATACTGAATGCAAAACGCCTGGGACATAAGTATCCGATAGAAAGTATGAGCTAATAACAACCAAAGGCATCTTGCTAAGGATTTAAATCTCATTCACTAGTTTTGCTCTCATAAGTCAGGGAGGCGGGCTTTTATTCCCCATTGACAGATGAAGAAACAGGCTTGCCTGAGCTAGCGGTTCCTACATTATACCATCTTCACGTGCTGCTCAAGCCTGTGCAGTTTTCTTTTGGAACTGCATGGCCCGGGGAAGCCAGGGCACCTACAAGGGCCCCCTGCGCTCCACAGATGCCAAACTGACGCACCAGGACTTCTTTCATCCTGGAATCCCCCTGTGAAACTCTGCCCGCGGCCGATGAACCAGCCAGCAGAGAACGGCTCAGCCACAGACATCAGGGTCCCACTCCCCTCCCCAACCCACGCGCTGTCCGCAGCAGAGCCTGGAACCAGGGAGAGGACAAAATTTTGTTTTGCAAGACATTTTAAGCATCTGTGTCATCCTTACAGTGACGCGTGGCCCATGCAAGGCCACGGCTAAGATGGGGCCGTGGCTAAGATGAGGCTCGAATATGCACATAGTCATCCTGGAATTTGGGTCTGGAGTGGCAGGAGACAACACCCCAAAGGGACACGGCAGGAAGAGCCACGTAAGGTTGAACCCAGAACCTGGCGAGAGCCCCCCGAAAAGGGCGAGACCTTGGAGGGGTCCATGATGACCGTGGGCACGAAGTTGAGGAAGATGTGGTTGCAGTCAGTGCGCACGCTGGTGTTGTTGAAGGCCACCTCCAGCTCGTCCATGGCCTCCAGGAGCAGCCGTTCCCCCTCGTTCTGCAGGTACTCGAAGGAGGCCTCCTGCCAAAGGGTGGGAGGGCAGCCGCTCAGGCCAGGGGCGCACGGCCCGCTCCTGGCTGGCCAGACACGCAGCCTCAGAGAGGCAGAGGCAGGAGGAAAACATTCCCTCCTCCAAGAAGTGAGCCAGGCGAGGACGGCAGAGCCCTCCCTCTAGGGGTGAAAAGATATCAAATCTGTCAAGGATATTGATCGTGTCTTTTATTTTCTGTATCTTGACACTTTTGACATCTAGGGCCTTGCTGACCTTGGAGGGACCCTCTAGCCAATTGCCAGAGATATAACGATTCCACATAAGTGCACTTTTCAAATACAAACCAACCAACCCAGTCCCAACCATGTGCTTTATCCGAGCTCTCACACACCTGCCTTAATCACCCATGGCTGGGAACCAGAGAACTCAGAGATAGCCTCTGTACCCCAGAGCCCTCGGAAATGATTCGCACTAGCTAACCCTAGACCTGTTACCCTGGCCTGCCTGCTTCTTCCCTCCGAAACCACCCGAAAGGCTCCCTCCACCGCCCGATCACGCCGGTGTCCCTCCGTCTTCTCGGGAACTGTGAGTCATAAACCATCTTTTCAACCACAATCGTTTCCTGATCCGTTGGCCTCACCACACCTGAATAACAAAACCTATTAAAACATCGCTCAGCTTAACATCCGCTGATAGGGAGTTAGTGAAAAGTAACACACCACGCGCACAGTACCTCCGTGCAAGGCACGCAGTGGACCACTCTTCCCCGACACAGAAAGAGCTCTGGAGGAGCTGACCAATTACAAAACAACAGTCTTCAAACGATCTGTCCACCCTGAGCTCCTGTCCGCAACATTATACCCGCAACTCTAGGTTGCAGGAATGAAATTACGTACAGAAAGTGGTGCCAACGGGGCTGGCCCCTCGGTGGCAAGATTCTGGGTCCTTTCAGTTGAATTTTTAAAAATAGTTTTCAGTGTTGTTTAAAATTTTCACAGTATAATTATGGATGACTTTTCTAAAGCAAGAGACAATGAAAAATGATCACTCCCTCAATGGGCAGATATCAGAGATTCCCGAAACAGACCAGTATCTTTCTATCCTCTCGATTCTCTGCTCATGCAAGAGAGATTCACATGATATGAGAACCAGATCCAAGTGCCACCAGCTGGGACATAATAGGCCACTTTGCTATCTGCCTCTCGCCTTAGGCTGGAGCGTCACAGAGCAGGGCCATGCGTGCCTGCTGCACCGTCCCACCCCCAGCGTGCAGCCCAGGGCCTGGCACTGAGCAGGAACTTGACGAAGGGAAGGCCAGAGCTCGAAGGACCAACGTGGAGAAAGAAACACTCCGCAACATCTCACCTTTGTGATCAGGTCAGAGTGCCGGATGATGGCTCGGATGAAGAACCGGTGGTCCGTCACTTCCGCCCCTTCCTTTACCCTGGCAGCACCCAGGTAAAGGTGCATTTTGTGGTTGGCGCAGGGCACGGCGGTCACGTCGAAGTTGCGCATCCGGCTGAGCTCTAGCTGGAAGGCCAGGGCAGGCTCCAAGTGACGGTAAATGCGATCTTCTGCAAACTGTAGGCCGACCAGAGAAAGCAGACAGACAGGCGGACACACACACGCAAGGTTTGACGTTGGAGCTGCATGCCTGTTTGGTCCACGCCTTATTCTGCAGATACCTAGTATTCGTGAGTTTAGCACTCAGGAACGTAGCGCTGACTGTGAGCACCTAATTGCGAGCGACCCCCAGGGCTCGAGAGACCTGAAGTTTTGCTAAGGTCTGGGGAGAGCCATGAGCGTTACAAGACGAGCGTGCTGGGTGCCGGGTGCGCCTCTTGCTTCCTGGGGGAGCTCAGCTAGTTCCCAGCACCTGCCAGTGCGACCAGGCTAGTCTCTGTCATCGCATTCGTAACAAGTCCCCAACCCTTGGTTTCTTGGTGGACAGTGTCCGCAAAAGAAAGGGACTGACTGTGCTGGAGAACAAACGAAAAACAAAAAAAGAAGAAGAACCTAAAAAAGGATGGGTCTTCACTGGAAAAGTAAGGCTTTGGATAAATTAAAATACAAAATGCTGAATTCAGTGGGGTCTTGAATCTGTGTCGGGAACGAGCCTATTGTTCTAGAATAGGGATTAGCAAGCTTTTTCTTAAAGGGCCAGGCAGCAAATGTTTCAGGGTGACAGATCATACGGGCGCTGTCACAGCCACTCAGTTCTGCTACTGTAGAGTAACAGCCACAGTAGACAATATGGAATCCGATGGTTGTGGCTGTGTTCCAAATAAAACTCTGTTCATCAAAACAGGCAGCCAGTCTGTCAGTCACAGTTTGCCAACCACTGTTCTAGAAGAGCATAAGAATGGCCGGACTCGGTGGCTCATGTCTGTAATCCCAGCACTTTGGGAGGCTAGGGCGAGAGGATCGCTTGAGGCCAGGAGTTCGAGACCAGCCTGGGCCACACAGCCAGATCCCATCTCTAGGAAAAAGAGGTTGGTATAAAACAGTCTTCCTGAGTCCACCAGCAAGTACAAAAAAATTATCTAAAACGAGACAGAAACATGTGAGGAGGCAGAAAGGGCAAGATTCTCCAATTCTGAGCTCCACGCAGACAACACAAGGTCTCTGATTAGAAGTACAACCCCAGAGGAAGAATGGAGTCTACATAAAAGTTGCCACATTTTAGAATCTGGGGCTGCCTTAAGGACTGGGGGCTGCATTCTTCACAAATATCCAAGATGCTAGGGAAGACAGAACAACATCATTGCTTTTAGCCATACCTCATCTCTTGCTCTGAATGTGAAAAACTTGGGAAATTCTTTCTGCAAAAAGAAATCCATACAAAAGACAATTAAATCAACTCGTCGAAAGATCTGTGTACTTATTTTGTGATTATGAATGAGGACCCAGTCTGCTTCTAGAACGAATCAGTTGCAGAGCCTTCTCCTGTCTAGCAATTGATCTCTCCCACCCCCCTCTACAGAAGAAACATCACATAAATGGCAGCGAGGCTTGGAGAACGGCCAACAGTGAAAGAGACGAGCACTGGACTGACCTCTTGGGCAATCAGGAATGTGATTCTTCGCAGTCCACAATCCACAAGGGTATTTTTCTGCATTAAAAGCCAAAGACATAATGGAACGTTATCCGACCACAAAATGGACTGAAGTACTGCTACTTGTTCCCGCACGGACCGGCCTTGCGGGCGTGATGCTAAGTGGGGGAAGCCAGTCACAAAAGACCTCCCATGACACAATCCCATTTAGACGAAATGTCCAGAATCGGCAAATCCACAGAAATAGAAAGTAGATCAGCGGCTGCCCGAGGCTGGGGCGGGGCTGGGGGACAATCGAGAGTACCTGCTAATGGGTACAGGGCTTTTGTGGGGGGTGACAAAAATGTTCCAAAATCGATTCTGGTTATAATTGCCCAACTCTGTGAATATACTAAAAAGCATTAAACTGCACACTTTAAATGGGTTAATTGTGTAGTATGTGAATTATTTCTCAATAAAGCTGTTATAAAAAACGACAATCCAAACATCCTGTTGTACACTGTAAAGATATACAACTTTTATGAGTCAATTATACCTCAATAAAGCTGGAGATGGAAAAAAAGACAAGTTGAGTGAAAAAGCCCAGTACGAAAGAGTACAAACTATGATTCCATTTATACAAAATTTGAGAACAGATCAAAAGTAATCGATATTGTTAGATGTCGGGATACAGCCAGTTGTCTTGGGGTGGCGGGTGACAGTGAACAGAGGAGGCACAGGATGGCTCCTGGGGGGCCGGGAGGTTCATTTCTTGATCTGAACGCTGGTTACACTTGGGCGTTCACTCTGAAATTCATCAAGCTATATCTATTTATGATTTGTACACTTCAATTAAAAATTACCCAAAAAAGTATGAAACTGTTCCCTCGTCACTCTCTCAATGCAATAAATACTATTATAGGCAGATTTATGGAGAAAGAAAAAAACCCAGAAGACAAGAAAACAAAGTTATTATTTAATCTGTCAATATGGTAAGGAAAATTGTTAGGGGACATCCTGGATTTTCAGTGCGACATCTCAATGCGCAAATGAGGTGACATATGGGCTGGGCATTTTTCTGTCTCCCAACATCAGCCATGTCAGGAAGAAACAGGCTGCACGGAAACACGCCAATATTTTCATAGTGGCTACCCCAGAGGATGGGGCTATGGGTTTTTGTTTTCAGATTTCTCTGCACCTTCAACATTGTCTACATGAACATCAATACACTGTGGAGTTGTCAAGCAAAGCCTACATATATCTGTGAAAATAATGTCCCCAAGCTTTTGTAGGGTTCTCCATGACTCAGCCTCATAGCATCTCCTACCCATGGAGCACCAGGCCAGGTCCTCCGAGGGACCCCAAGGCAGACAGAGGTAAGAGGTGTCCCTCCTACCAAGATAATATGGGGAATAAAACACATCTACACATAAACAGACTAAAAAGCAACTGAAAATCCCCAAGTGTTCTCGAAGTTGAGACCAAAGTCAGGAGGTAAAGAACTCACAGCCAGACAGCATGCTTGGCATATCTGATCATTTTATGAACTAAGAGTGTCAGATCCCATTTTACAGATGGGAAAACTGAGGATCAGAAAGGTAAAGTCACCTGCCCCAGGTCACACAGGTGATAAAGGCACGCCTGCCTGGTGAGCACCCTCGCACTGTTTCTACGACCTACCATTGCCATGATCCTCCACGTCTGTCTGTCTGCAGCCGAGGCCCCTGAATGTAGATAGCAACTATCCCCACTGCCAGGGTGAGAACGTACATGGTGACAGCCACCACAGGCTTACAAAGCAACCTGCGGTTACCTGCACGAACAGTCAATGTCGCTGGCCGATTTTTAAATTGCAAGTTTCTGGGTTACTCCAACAAAAACATTCCCCCAAAACCCCAAACTATTTATTGAGCGTGTCCTCTGTGCTCATGACAGCCTAAGTGGCATGTATATTTTGTCATTTAATCCTTACAACACCTCAGGAGAGAGAGGTGCTGTCCCACCTTCAGCCACCTCCGCCCGAGGTCGCTGGCAGAGCTTGGATAGAAATGCCCCCCCAGCACCGCTCTGGCGCACGGACCACCTCGCCAAGACAGCCCCTCCTCCTTCCCCAGGGCCGCCCCGCCCGCACCCATGAGCAGAGCACACCCAGGGTACCTTGGATTGTACGAAAGTCCGAAAGATCAGCACCAGTGCCTCGTCCTCCAGGTGGTCTGCGCACCGGATGGCCACGTTCAGAATGTGGATGGGCTCTTCCCGGAGGCTCTAAGGGAGACAAGCAAGGTGGCGGGGGCGGGGGGGTGTTGAGAAGGGCTGGGGCCACGGCCCACCCCCTCCCCAAGCTGCCCCCTGGGCTCAGACGCTTACCTTGCAGTCGTCCTCGGAGTACAGGGAGGTGCGGGCCTTGCTGAAGAGGGGGGTGTCTTTGGGCACGTTGGCAAAGCAGGAGATGACCTCGTCAAAGTTCCTGGGGGCGCGGGCAGAGAGGGAGGGCTGAAGGGCTGCTGTCCTGGGGGGACGTAGCTCGCACTTTTGAGCCAGGCAGAGGGGAGGCCCAGGAGCTCCCTCTTTCCCAGCCGATGCTCTGTGATCCCACCCAACTCTGTGCAGAGCTCGGACAGGGTGGTTCCCTGTCTAGGTCCAAGGCACCCTGCTGGGGTCTTTCCCAAAAGGGAAGGATGGGCTGACTTGATCCATGTTCAGGAACAGAGGAGAGGATCCCAGCACTCTGGGACAGCAGCTCTCGGCCCCCCCTTTCACTGGCTGGAAAAGCCTAGAAACCTCACCTCACCCCTGAATCCAACGAGGACAGTAAGAGTCATCACCTCGTGGGGCTCTTGTGAAAACTCAACGAGATAATCCAAGCACAACGCTTACCACCCAATAAAAGGTTGAGAAAAGACCATAACAGTGATAGTACTGATAACCAACACTTATTGAGCATGTTATCTGCATATTAAATTATACTTTAAATATACGATATCATGTATTATCTCATTTAAGTTTCACAGCACCCCTGCAAAGTTGGTCCTTCTATTATTCTCATTTTGTGGATGAGAAAACTAAGATACAGGGAGGTTAAGTCCTTCGTTGGTCTCACGGTTGGGAGAAGCAGAGTCAGGACTCACACACAAGAGAACGGCCACACAGGCTCATGCCCTTGGCCGCGATGCTGTCACGAACCCGCTGTGCAGTGTATGTGGGTCTGTCCCACCCACGTGTCCCATGAATGGGGCGTTTGGGAGGCCGGGCCACCCTGGGTACCTGGTGAAGTCCTCGAACCTCCTGAAGGCCACCATGGCCCCCATGCGCTGGCACAGGGGGGAGAAACCGCTGTCCATGAAGAGCTCTGTGCTGTGCCTCAGCAGGTCGGGGTTGCTGATGCTGATGGGCATGGCCATCCTGGGGGGGCGACCACGAGAGGGGGGTGAGACAGTTGCTTGCAGACCCGACCCTAACAGCTGCTGCTGCCCTGAAGCTTCGAGTGAGCTGGAGCAGGGTCAGAGCCCTCCCGAAGCGCGGCTTTAAATGTTGTGGTGGGGGATGAAGGTTGGGGCCAGGGGCTGAGGTGTCTCCTCCGATTCCTTAGAACCCGGTACAGAGGATGAGCTCAACGAGTGAATGAATGAATGAATGAATGGCGCATGCATGCAAGAAAAGTCCAGTCCCGAGGTAAATCCAAATGGTGAATTTGGCTACACGGAGAATAAATGGTCCCAGCATCAGTGTCTCCTAGAGACCCCCAGCCCTGGCTGGGCAGCTGGTGTGGGGGCAGGCTGGGTCCTGAGGGACCCCCTAATTCCTCCCCCTCCATCGCACCTGCTCCTGGGACAAAGCCAGCAGCCTATGAGAGTCTAGAAAGCTACCGCCCCCAGGAGCAAATCCAAACGGGTCACCGGAGGTTGTTAGAACCGGGCCTCGGCGTCAGGTACAGGAGGGGTTAGCAGGTGTCGTGCAGAGAGGTCAGCATGGCAGGCCCGAGACTGCTGCTAGAAAGGAGACCTGCTTGCGAGGGTGGCCTGTGGCCGGCGTCCGCGAACTTGGATTTGGGGAGGGTTTCCACCCTCCCCTAAACGATCAGGGTGGCTTGCTGCCCTGAACTGTTCCTACGAGCAGTATGGTTTATGCTTAGCGCCTACTTTCTTCCGGGAGCCTGGGATTTTGACGCCGGGCAGAGTTTGCTTATGTGACCAGTTGCCAATCGAAAGCCTGGTGCTGTGTCGCTAACGAGCCGGTAGCCAACCCTTCGTAAGTGTCGCCACAACTCATTGCTGGGGGAATTAAGTGTGTCCCACGTGAATCCACCGGGGGAGGACCCTGCAGCTTGCGCCTGGTTTCCTCTGGGCTTCACCCCTTGGGCCTTCTGCCTTTGCTGATTCCGCTTGGGATCCTTGCACTGCAGTAAGTCAGAACCACGAGCACGACTTCATACTGAGTCCTCCTAGCGAATGATCGGACCTGGAGGTGCTCCCGGGGACCCCTGAGATAGGCGTGTGCATTCCTGTTGGGTACCCCTGAAATCATGATCCAGACCCCCCCTTCTCCTGGACAGCCAAATCCAGAGGCCACAGACTGGCACGGCGGTGTGGCTGAGTGCAGCCTACACGCTGACGTTGGTCCAGGCAGCACTTTTAACATCCATGAATTAACATGTATTCGTGCATTCATTTCACATGAATTAGCTGCCCCACTGAAAAACGGAGGGATTTCAGATTTTTTTAAAACAAAATCTAGATGTCCTGCTGCTGGTGGCAAAAAAACACGGAAAGGTCTGGCTGTGATGGCCACGTCCCCACAGGGTCACAGAGGGCAGAACGCGGATGATAGCCCCGCAGCAGGGCGGCGTGGCCAGCTCCCACCCAGCGCCGACACGAAGCCCCTGCTGACCTTTCGTCTGACCTCGTCTTGGGTCTCAGTGACCCAATTCACCTTGGGCCTGGCACTCTAGACACAGGTGTCTGCAGGCACTAAGCCAGGCCCTCCCGGGGGGAGACTTCACTCCTCAAAGGGCTGCGGGGGGGTGGGCAGCCACAGCCCTTTGGCCCTAGGGCCACTGCGAGAGCCTTACACGGACCAGGAATCCTTCCAGGGTCCTCAATGTCTCTCTGGGTCAAAATAGGACCCTGAATCTACGTGTACGTCCTTTCTAAAAAACAAAGGACAGCCACAGCCCCTAGGAGAGATACCTCCCTTTCCCAGCTGGGCTCAACTGCCGAGACAATACAACCAGAAGAGCAAAGAATTTCTTCTTAGAGGTAGACGACTGCAAAGCGTCTCACTCCTCACCTCCTAGAACCCACAACACAATCCCAGGCAGCAAGCCGTCCGCCCCCTTTTCTCTCAAGGAGGCAAAATGCTGCAGTCCTTTATTTTTTTCTTTTTTTAGTAAGAAGGGTAAAAAAAAATGATAAATAGGGAAAGAAGGTGTCTCATGCCGAAGCTGCTTTTTTTCCTTCATCCAAAACAGAGCAGTACCTTTCTTCTTAAAACCCATGGAAGGAGAAGCTTATCTTTTAAAATCCCAGGAAACTAGAAAAATCCCTGCTCCAAGAGAGCACTTGGCAAGTCATACCGCTGTCCCCCAACCACCAAAAAAAGAAAAAAAAGAAAAAGCAAGCATGAACCCTGTTGCTTGTATAGATCTGATCAACTGAACCCCCAAATCACGAGGACACCATTGCAGCCACAAGCGAGGCCTGGGGAACCCCCCCACCGAGAACGGAACCAGAGGAGAGAGAGGAGTACAAGCAAAGGCTTTGAACTCCAGGGAGGCGGAGCTGCTTCAGGAGAAGGTATCGCACTCTACCTGGCCAGAACAGTACTTCGGGTCCTGAAATAAGACGGATTAAACAAGAGTTCGTGAGCTGGGGGGACTCAGACACATGAGACGTCCCCGCGTGAGAACACACAGGGGCTCCACTGCACTGCGGCTTGTGGAGGGCAGAGTGCAGCGGACACGGGCAAGCCAACACGCGCGCCCGACCCCTGGCTCGGAGGGCCCGCGAAGGCTGCGTTAAGAACTTGCAGGTGCAACAAAAGTAAATAAATGGGATCTGATCAAATTAAAAAGCTTTTGCACAGCCAAAGAAACTATCATTAGAGCGAACAGACAGCCTACAGAATGGGAGAAAATATTTGCTCTCTACACATCCGATAAAGGGCTGATAACAAGATTCTATCTAGAACTTAAAAAAATCAACAAGAAAAAAATCAAACAACCCCATCAATAAACGGGCAA